TATATATATATATATATATATATATATGCAGTATATGTTGACTTTCAAGGTGATAGGCAAGTCTTCTAGTTAGGAGTTTGTCGAGAACTTTCCCCCAGTGAAAATAGTACAAAATTGCAACAAATATACCTTACGTATTTAATATGTTTTCGAACTATCTTGGGCCTATTCCATATTAGGACACATTCTCTAACTTCGGCAGAATTCTTAACATTTTTAGTTTTCGAGATATGAGTTTAGAAATTTTGCCGATCCGTAATGGCTTACACTGCTCATGTGTGTCACATTGGACATAATTATGGTAACCATAATAATAATTGATATATTCTAATTTTATTGTCCTAATCTTCGTAATTTTCAAAAGAGAACTTCATATTAGGAACATTACACCTTCATTATTAATAAAAATAGAATATAAATTTGAAATTTTTAAACCTGTTGATAAACTCTTCATCAACGTCTCCAAGAGGTTGACCTTTACCGACAGCGGCATTGTTTACCAGCAAGTCAACAGGTCCTAGTTCGCTTATCACTCCTTTGGTTTGTTCCCAATCACCAACATCGAGACATACTGGTCGAATATTGGGACACTGAATTAACAGAAGAAGAAGAAGAATTCGAAAGAAGAGAAGAAGAATTTGAAAGTTTCAGACATTTTAAGTAAAACAACATCTTTAGTTTTATGAGCAAACAATCAAAAACATTTTAGACTGAAATGCCTATGAAATATTAGGTATAGTCAATAAATAACTAGCCAAAAGCTTTTTCATATAATTTACTTAATGAACCTCTTATGTATTGTCTACTATTGTTTTGGCGTGTGTAACACTATTCACACTATGTAATCCTGTAATATCGTATTGAATTATTGGCTGCTGTTTTGACAGATGCGCACGTTTGAAACGTTTGAGCACGTGGGCATGCAGTGCATTTCATAGAAGATGTAGAAACACTTGTAAGGGAGAATATGGATAATATTGTCGGGGGAATTTTTGCTGAAATTGCTTCGGTTTTATGTGATCTAACGTTACCCTGCTCTACGGAAAAGTTTTCCCGGATATTCTGTTTGATTGCCTTTCTGGGCTCTGTTAATTTTTTAAATGATCATTGACCTTGCGCACTTGCTACAGGCAATCAAAAATGAGTGACTCTTTGCACGTCACTTTCAGAAACCGAATACGTGACAAATATTGCCTCCCAGCTTATGAAACGGAAGTTAATTCTTTTTGTCACAACAGCAACGATATTTCGTAAAAACCTTTTACCAATTAAGCTGGTTATGATTTAATAGCATCATCCTATTTCTTATGAAGTGCACTTAGTAGTCTAAGAGTGAATTTGTATGTGCTGCTTTTAATATTTTTTTGATTGATTACGAATTCTGTTAAAAAATTGCACACTTATTATTTCTTTCTCCCATCTGCTCAGAGCATGTTTAACTTAGAAATTTTGCGTTTTCAAAATAATTTTGATTTATGTGACTTAAATAAAGGCTCAAATGCGAACTTAAATTTTGTAGATTTAGGGGGACCTGCTGATATTCTCAAAATTTTTAGCAATCGAAATATATATTTATAAAAAAGCATAAAATTTATACTTATACTTTATTTATATTTATACTTAGAGTGTAAAATATCTATAATTAGACTAACTTCGTATTAAGAAAAAAATCCGATTTTTCAAGAAACAAGTGCAAATATTAAGTAATATTATAACTTTAATTTTAATTTGCATTCAAGAGTTTCATTTAATAAAACATTAAATGCATTTTTGTATGGTTCATTCATTGAATTTAGTTACGGTTTATTTATTGTTATTAACATATTAAAAACAACGAATCCCAAAATTAAAATTGTTAAAATTGTTAACAAAAAGGAAGGAAAGAAAAAAATAGTGATGCAGCTCAAGAGGATATATTCTTTTCAGTTTAATAACTGCAGTGAAAAATAAAATGAAATTATTTTAGAATTACATATTTCAATTGCTTATTTAAAACAAAAAAATTAAGCTTTTTTTTATGCTAGAAACAAAAACTATCAACACTATATGTGTATTCTTTAAAATACAATTAAGCATATCAAATTTAGATCATTATAAATATTTCCGAAATATACGAAAATATTTCATGTATATAAATATATATTAAATAGACAGAATTATATTTATTGTTTGATTGTCTGTTTGTTTGCTGTTAGTAATTGATTTAAAATTTGAAATTTTCAGACAAAAGTTATTATAATGTGATTTTTTTCTCATGTGAGGATGTAAACACTATTTTTTAAATAAATACTGTAAACTTTACTGATTTTTTTACAACATTTGTTTTCACTGTTAAAATAAAATCTAAACTTGTGCAAGCAATTTGAAGAAAAAAAATTAAAAAATTAAAGATTTAAATATTAAAAATTCTGAATGGGCATGATGCAAATATGTTTGACTCAGTTTGTCAATTTGTCTTACTTAGTTGCCTATAATTTGTGATTGGAATAAATTATTTTATTACAGTAGCTTAGTAGCAACAGTTAACGTATCAAAACTTATTCGAGTGTAATGCACTTACAATTTCTGCTAGTTCATCCAAATCTGATTGCGTTCTACTTACAGCTATCACTTCAGCACCACATTCCGCTAATTTAATTGTTATATCTCTCCCGATTCCTAAATATGAAAAGATAAGCATACTTCCATGACAGACTCCATGGATTTTAAATTTAAAAAAATATAGTTAAGAGAATAATAATGTCAAAAATACAGATGAAAAATTATTAAAAATTGATTCAAACATAATTTTTTACTTAAGATGAAAATTTAATGTATCGAAAATGTTACGAATGCTATCCTTTTTATCAAGGCACTGTCAATCCAAATATTTCCTGTCAGGACATGAAAGCTTATTTTGCAACTGTTTATTCTGTTAAATTTATCAAATTACCTTCCTATAATATTCCTTTTGTTTTAATTATTTTTTTTTATATATCTACTTAAATAGTGACAATTATTGATGAAAATAAGCCTTCATAACTTTTAAGCAATTTGAAAATTTCAGATGAAACTTAACGGTTGAATATGGTATGCCGCAATTTTTTTCATCGTGCTCATACTTACTGTTATGCATATTTCAACTTAGCAATTGTGTTAATCTCACTCATTTTGCCTTATTTTTCTGAAGCTTCATAAAAACAAAGCTTTTCTGAAGCTTCATGAAAACAAAGCTTTTCTGAAACTTCATGAAAACAAAGGCTACGCTAATAATCCATCTCTGAAAACAAAAGTAGAATTTAAGACATCGCCAAAAAGATCGATGTCCTTCCACTTCAGGCAGACGAGAATTCCGATCTTTCAGTAGTTCAACGTTGTGACAGCTTTTGTATCCCCCCATAGAACAGTTAAGTAGTCCAAACATTTTTTTTACTTTCCTCCACTCCGCAGTTTATGTTCAGTACAGCGAACAAAAAAAAGTGATCCGCGTTTGTTCATCTGTCTTTTGATGCCATTCTCTCATGTCATACACATCGTAACCATTGATGTCTAGTATACAACACATGCTGTGAGCAAAAACCCAAATTTATTTTTAAAAATTTAAATAAAATTGTGAAAGTTTATAATTTTATTTCATTATTTAATTCAATAATTATCATCCTTTATTAAAAATAACCTATCTAATGCATCAAATGAGATAGGTGTATTATTTTAAATTGCTGAAAGGATACGGGTGAGAGTAATATTTTACGAAGAAAAAAAAATTTAATAATGAGATATAAATAATTCAATATAGCTGATTCCTTGGCTAAAAATGCCAGAGATCTAAATCAAAACTCAATCCCAACCACGTTGGCAGATGCAAATGCTTATGCAAAATCAAAACTATTCACCCCTTTAAAAATCAAAGCCCAAGATCAAATAACTAATCTTGACATCGATAGGAAGACAGCCACTACTCTCATCAGACTAAGAACAAAACATCATAAAAACATGAAAATCTCTACAGATAAGACTAGAAAATATCAAAACTGTGGCAACTGTCTTAATGTGGAACTGACACCATATCATGTTTTTAACTGCCCTGCAGTCGCTGCAGGCCTTCACCTCTTAAACTACCCCACAGAAGAGGATTTGTATTCTTTTAATGCCATAGAAATAACAAAAACTATTCAAGCACACCATGAAATATGATTCTATAGAGGATACGACACCAACCAACCAAATAATTCAATTTTTGACTTTTATGTCAAAAACAGTCTAATCACAGTATAAGTTATGTACTTAAACTTTAATCGTTTCGCGTTTGTAATTTTAATGTTAAGGTTCAATACACTTAATGATTTATTTTATGAAAAAAGTTTCGATGCATCTACAAAAATTACCTTATTTTCATCCATACTGTAGAAATTTCCGAATCAAATTACGAGAAAAGAAGCACTTATCGGCACTCATGGGGCCGATGCTTTTTACCGTAAAATTCTTTCTTACCCTAACGTGTTACAGAACGAAAAATCTGATATACTATAATTTTTACAGTAATAAACAATTATCATAAAATCACGGAATAACTAAATAAATTTCAATGTAAAAATTACGTTATACTATTTTATCGTTAAAATGGATTCACAGTAAAATGTAATTAATGGATGATGCACCCAAAGTTAAGCAACTACTATTTATAATTATTTTTTAAACATGAAACACCAACAAACACCACAAGTTTTCAAAAGTCATAGATAAAAATATTTTTAAAATAAGTTAAAAATCTGCTCTATGTAACACTTATCTAAAATTTCTTAGATTTCATAACTTTAAATCTCTTTAAATTACTTTAAGTACATAATTTAAAATATTTCAATCTTCTAACTTTACTTTAAATTTCATAGCATTTTGATAACAGAAAAAAAATCTGTAATTTTACCTTTTCCAGCACCTGTTACTATAGCAACTTTACCATCAAACCGGATTTCCATGCTTTCGCTCGATAATGTAACTGGTATAAAAGCGTGCCTCTCTTTGAGATTTCGTATTAAGGTTGTTGTCAAGGCTACTTTTTTCATTGGAAAAAAGCCAAAACACACGTAGACATCAGGGCTAAAGAGAATAGAAAGGCTAGTTCACCCAGCTCTTAGAGCTGAAGCTACGATTTCCCTCCTTATGACGTCACTGTGTCCACAGATCTCGGAGATCGCAAGCATAGAACTTTGCATCTTTCGCATTGTAAAAATAAGTTCGACTTTTTCCGGTTATTAGCTTTCAAACTTTACGTAATTAACACATTATTTCTGTTCATAGACATAGTTAAAAAAACTTTCTTGGCCATTATATTAAAAAAAAATACCATTTTAAACTTATAAAAATGTTTTACTAGTTGGCGAAAATGACACTATAAATACTTTATTTTAAAAAGTTCAGTTTTAACTTTAATTATTAAGAAAAATGAAAGCATATATCGACANATGGGCGGGCAGAAATAAGCCACTTCCGGTTTATGGGCGGGCAGAAATAAGCCACTTCCGGTTGGGCAGAAATAAGCATCGGTCGACTATGACGTCACTTCCGTAGCTTATACCTCGCTGTATACTACTTAGGGGATTATATCTATGGGTCTAACATACGAAGTAACTTTGTTTTTAACGCCATCTTTTGACAAATTTTGTATTTAATTTGGATATATTTCTGAAGAAAAAAAACATCTAAGTTTCTTAAGTAGATCTCAACAAATAGTAAATTTCGGATTTCTTTCATTCTTCATTTTTTATTTTTTTAAATCAATGCTCATATTTGAAGTATTAAATAAAATTAGAATTTTAATCATAAACGTTAAAATCGGCCATAACTGTATGCTTTGATTTATTTATATTTTTCTAAACTTTTATTTGAAAATTTATTTAAAATTTCAATTCCTTTTGCTTGTTATTTCAAAATAAAATCGGTTGTTTAGCAAAATATTACAGTTTCAATATCAAATGGAAACTACTTACTTGGCTGATATTTACAATAGACTTGAAATTTACCTCGAACAGGCTGAAAATACAGAGAAAAAAATTATTTATCTATGAAAACAATATAATTGGTATGAATGAAAAACACATGATTAATAGAAAAAAAATTTAAATTGTGTTATGATAATTTGGATTTTCTAATTCGTGAAATTGAAGAATTTTTGTTGCATGCAAAAGTACAGTTCATCAACAATTCGTATAAGTATATTGCAAGTTCATTTTATATTTAAAATCATTCACTTCAAATAAAATGATACAAAGTCTTAAGCCTTATTTGGCAAGGTATATTTCTTTATTTATGTTTAATTATTTAAACTTTGAGTAAATTATAATAATAATAATAGGCAATTAATAAGTTGTAAGTAAGTTGAGTTTCGGGAATACTATTTTTGGAAAATAAATGAAAAACAACTAAATATTTTCGTTTATAAAAACCATAATTTAGATTTGCATAGATTGAAATATTGTATTAGGCTTAAGTAACTAAATTCCTATCACTTGAAATTTAAGAGTGAACCTATCTAGCAATTATGTGCAACAATAACAATTAAGAATTGCAGTTAAGACAGTAAGCAGTTTGTCTTAACGTATATCATATCCAATGATCTTTATATGAAATCCATGTATCCAATTATTCCTTCAGCAATTTTAATTTAAAAAAATATCTATCTATCTATCTATC